TCAATGTTTCGTGGTGGAAACTTCTCAATGTGTGCTAAATATAGGTTTGTACTTCTGTCTAGATATTTCTAGCGAACATGCGTAATGTTAATGTTGTTCTGTATCCCTCTATTGATGATGCGATGATAGAAGAACTATTCAATTCTGCAGTTTCTCCTAAGAAGCAAGCAAGTCTAAACTGGTTCTGGTTGATTCAAGAGGTCAAAACAGTGTGGTTGACCACTAAGATTGCATCTCCATTTCGAAAACATGGTAAATCAAACTCACAAAGCGCAAAGAACATGCTGCGTAGAGAAAGTAACTTCCAACAAAAATGGCTTTATCCAGTTGGCTGTGGAGACTAGAGAACACAGAACAGTAGCTGACAAGTTCCAGTAGGTTGTGGAGATTTCCGTGTTCCTTGGTATCTTCCTAAATCAACTTCAAGATTTATTCCTCTGTAGGCCAATTGATAAACCAAAGCAACATAAATCGATACTAAAAGAAAGTAAACTTGGATAAAACCAATGAAAAATCAGCACTTAAGACAGGAAGTTCATCACCATATGCAGTAGTCTTCCACAGCCACGTGGATCCATAAAAAGAATGTGCTATGTTGTCACTTTACCTAGCAAAGGCTGAGAACAATGAAATGAACTTTCTGATAAAGGCCTAACAACCAATATGTAGAAGTGCATGACGTTTCATTTCCAGCCACTCAGAAAGTAAACACAGCAAAAGTGCCTATAAGCAGAGCACAATTAGTTCTAAAGACTTGTACAGCTTGATCGATGTTGTCAATTACAATCCGATTATGCCCAAAAAGGTAGGGCCTAATTCACGATACTGCAAAACCTACAGGTGTTTCTTGAGTAACATGGGGCTGAGGAAAAATCAAAGATGTAAGAGCAGCTTGTCACTTTATTTCCATGCACAAGAGACAACCAAAGCTCTATTCTTCCATCCAAGATAAAGCACACCGTCTCTCTCTTCAAGACGATAGTTCTCACAGTAGTTCTCTAAAAGCATCTTGATTGTTGCATTCACTAAAGGACTCAGAGGATATGGCCTGAATCCAGCCATCATAAACCTCGACCTCCATTTCCCGAAAAGCTCATGGCGCTCCACCCTTTCATCTCCCTCACATGCAATGATGTTAACTATGTCTCGTGCTAGGCAATGCTGCTCCACGTTGATCCTTTCCTTGTTCTCCCTTGGAAGAGTCACATCTATCGACTCAAAGATGGCAGCATAGTAGTCTACAGTTTCTAAAAATCTTGGAAAGAATGGAGCAGTGTTTGTGTTTGATTCCTGCTCCACAAGAGTAACAACTGTTGGAGACAAGCTCTTAATCATCTGTAGAAGTCTATCTCGGTAGTTCCTTGTGCTCACACTCTCATCTGGCATGTGATGCAGTTGGAAAGCAAAGTTAACGGCCAATGCCTCCCCAGGTCGAATGTCAAGATGCTCAAGTTCTAAATCACACCCTGAGAGAGCTGCGCCATGGAATTCGAAGGGCACATTGCATGACTTGGCAAGCCGAGATAACCTCTGCCCCACAATATGTAGCCCACCACCACGGGCGTAGGCAGAAACAGAGTCATCAATCCCTGTTATTCTTACACGTGGAGGCCCACCAGGTCGTGCTGCAAGAGCTTGAATGAGAGTTACCCATTGACTTCCCTGGGCAATCTGGAAATCGATAATATGAACCATGTTCTCACCCTTAAGAGCCTCAGCTATTGCTCCATTTGCAGACATATACCCAAACTTGAAGTATGGGCATACATCATAAAGAATGTGCATGTATGAGAGGAGGTCTGAACTAGTGGGTTCTTTACACTTCAAAGCCTTGTATATGGAACTTCCCGAGGAAGCCAGCTTAGCTACGAGGCCTTCCAACAAGTATGCTCCCAGACGTTGAATTGGTTCCCCAGAGACTGATACCATCTGCCTTAACTTTGGAATTAGCCACTCAACCACAAGAATATCATTGTTTTCTACAGCTCGAGCACAGGCTATTAGGATCTGTTTCAAGTCTCCTCTAGGGGTTCCCATCACTTGTTGCCACTTCTCTTGCTCCAAGGAGATATAGCTGGAGTAAGCATTCTCAAAGCTGTCAATGCTATCTGAATCAGGCCCAAGCATTGCAGCCTCTATCTCCCGTAACTTATGCTTAAGATCATTTGAGTCTTCGGTAATACATGAATAGCTTATGGGAGAGTCATAGTTGTTATCTGACTGAGAATCTTGATGAGATGCGGGGCTCCTGCTGATCGGGGAGTAACTAGGAGAAGATGGAGAGTTATGAGTGGTAAAATTCGCAGCTTCCGAGGAGGACTCCAGAGTGTAGAATTGGTCATGAATTGTCTGATGATGGGAGTTCCCTTGTTGGAATCCATCAGCAGAGGAGTCACAATGTGAAGTTAGGTAATTTTGAGGCATAAAACGGGATTCCGGATCTCTCCCAAGGTTTTGATTGTATGACTGATGCTGTTTACTTAATACTTTGTAGTTTGTTGAAGCTTGCATTGATATATATTGCAGTGCCGCTTATGGAGAATCTGTTAATTTCCACTTCTAACAGTATCTGAGGCCTCACATAACAAGGTCATGTAGAAACATTTATGGGCATAAGCACCCGAAAAGGTTCTCTACCATGCCAACCACTGAATGATCTGTTCCAAGAAACAACACTGCTATCACTTTCATGGAATATCTTGGATTGAAAGTAGATCAGGATCTCCCAACAAAATAAAAAGACAGGCTTAAAGGAGCATATCCATGGACATTAAGTTCAAAAAGAAGAGTAAATTGGACATCATACAGCAGAAACACCAAAAAGCAACTAGAATGTATAAAAATGTATTGGCATAAGGGCAAAAAAGGTTCTCTATCATGCTGGCCACTAAATGATCTGTTCAAAGAGGGAAACAACAATATCACTTCCACGAACCATCTTAATGGAAACTAGAATGGATTAGGATCTACCAATAATTTGTGAACAGTTCTAAAAAAGCATATTTGCGGCATTAAATAAAAAAGAAGATTTACCACTGAGTGTATAATAATTCAGATAGACATCATATAATAGATCTCATCAACTAAGTTGCTATTTTTTCTCAAATATTATTTTTCATTTTGTGAACTAATAAACTTTGGGTAAAAAAAAAAAGTCTAGCATGTCTTACATTTTCAGTTTGAACAAAAATTAGACCGGAATACCAAAAACCAGAAATGGCTATTAGCTTGCAAAATAAGAATTAGATTTCTTTGGAACAAAAATTGTACTTGAGTGTTTTTTTTTTGTTCTGGACTTTCTTATGGTTCCAAAGCATCCATCCAGAGGATGTACTTTGGCAATAATAGTAAGATTACTTCTTTAGAGGTAAGGAGAAGTTGTGAGACCTGAATTGGGATTGTGGAAACAAGCTCTCCTTATTTAGAGGTAAGGAGAGGTTGTTTTCTTCTAGGATTTCTTATGCCTCTAAAGCGTCCATCTAGAGAGCGGACCTTGGTGTAACGGTAGGGTTATATATATTGACCCTCAATATAGACTCTACATTGATGGGAGCCTCATGACGGGATCCTCAGCACATTACAAACATCTTTTGTTCCAAAAAAAGAACAAGAACAACAGTTTGCATATTTTTGTTCAGAGTATTCACATGCCATAAGGAAAAGGAACAAATTTTTACAACAAGCAATTCTGAACAGATATTAATAAATTCAATAACACAATAATAGAATCATTCCAATGTAGTTTACGCAACCTGAGTTTTAATTTGATCCTAGATTAAACTAACTTAACGCACCAAACTCCAAATTCAGATAGTTGACAAGGATATCTGCGAGCAGATAATCAGTCTGTAGGTACACTATTTATCTTCTTAATCGGAAAAAAGAGGAAAAAAAAGGTATCTAAGAGATGAGCATTGTCTTACAACCTTCTACAATATTCCACAACACATATATCCACATAAAAAAAAATCACGATATAAAGGGATAAAATACATCAACAAGGAAAGAAAGGAAAGGAAAAAAGAAGGGAATGGAAACTAAAACTAAATGCAGAAGTAAATGACAATTGAAAGATCTTACTCCCAAGTCCCAGGACAATCCCTAGCTCGGTTAACTTAGATCCAGGACAGCAATGTTTCTCTCCTAAGCCTATAACTAAATGAAAAAAGGGAGACTATCAAAATCTACAAAAAAAATAGAGATACAAAATCCCAACTATAGGTTAAAATTCAAGCGTCTCAACAAAAAAGGGTCAATTTTTCTGATGGGGCTTCCACAGCACAAAGAAAGGCCTCCCAAACACCATGAAGTATTACAAAGATTAGAAATAACTAATGAAGCCAAACCCCAATCTTACACAAGTCATCAAGCACAGATGTGAGGAATTAAAGTTCAAAGACGACAGAGAACACTTGATGACCCAAGAACTGAGCAGGGACATCCACCACAAGAAAGGATTGAATGAACAAATCTTTGAATTCCAAGATCCACAACCCAAAACACAACACATGAAAGAACTAAGATGAAGGTTGACTGACCACTGCATGGATCTCAGATTCCAGTTTTTAACTCCCCGCACATAGAAAGGAGACAGCTATCTGACCCAACACATCCTCAACAAAGGAGCATTAAAGACAAAGTAGGAACAGCCCCTCCATAGAGTGTCCCTATACTTCTTAGAAACCACTGTTTTGCCACTTACTGTGCCTGTAAATTCTTTTTTCCCAACGTGGAATGAAACTGTTGGTACATACGCACAGAATCCAACAAAAGCATCTCCCAAATCCAGGGGCGGATGATCAGCTTAACTGAGAATCAAACTTCTATATTGTATTATAATCAGGATAATTCAAATTCAGAAAAGAAAATTATGACCACACTGATAGGTCATTTTGATTTGTGATAAAATATTTATGTGTGAGATATATCAATAAATATCAAGAGAGTGAAATGATACATATTTAAATCTAGTTCATATTCTAAAAATTTAGATCGTTAGATTATAGATTGTACTCAAATATATGCTAATATTTATCAATATAACCTCATACATGATTATTTTTTAGTATTCTTTCAGTATTCACATGTGACTCAATTATTTGTCAGGATAGGTGGTGCGATCAATTTTATTCGTAATCACCGTAAGCTTAATTATTTGACGTGGCTAATTTTGTCTGCACCTTAAGTTTGACTTTATTTATTAAGCTCATCTTAGCTCAAATATATATATTTTTTTCATCCTCATCTATCTTTCTCTTTTTCCTTTAAGGATTCTTTTTTTTTTTAATCATTCAAGTTTGACATTTTTTTTCTTTTTCAATCATCTTTTTTTTATTTTTTTGACTGACTCTTTTTAAAGAGAACCTTGGCTCTAATAGTCTGTTAGAAATCTTGTAATAACTAATCCAAGTCATTCTGATCAAGATAAACATATATCTTTTAGGATATCTCACTTTATCTCATATACATGAATATTTTTAATATCTTTTCCTGTTCTTGTATGGGTTTAGGATCTTTTTCTTACTCTTAAGGGTTCAAATTTTAAATTTCTATCGGGACAGTTTACTCATTCATATCTATCCATAGCGGTGCTGACTCATCTTCATTCGATTAAACTATAGTTTAATCTTTTTTTTTATGAAACTTGACTTTAAAAATCTATTAACAATGAGTGAGTCAAATTCTTGTTAACATAGAATTGGTTTTTAACTCAGTATATATTAACTTTAATTAGACTTATTCATTCATTTTTAATAAATTTTTAACATAATTAAAATTGTTGGATCATTTACTGAAATTACATCCTCCCACGAAAGCCAAACGGAGACAAAAGACCAGATCTTTGTTACCTTCTTGACACTCCATTGAATAAATAGAAAATAATTATTGAGGACAAAGTAGGGAAGCAAGCTGAGACAAAGAGAGGAATCTCTAAAGGATGCTTCTTCCTGCGTCCAACTATATAATAGTGATCTCGTGGCTAATGTCCTTTCTTACGCAATTGATGAGTCCAAGAATCGATCATAAAGCAATCCAATGACTTTTCCTGTTGACAGAAATTGTTTATTTAGAAATGAATTTGGACAAGTGTGAATGCACAGGCTTTCATTTCGGTGATTCATGGGTTCTATTTTTTTTATACGATGATTAGGAGGACATCAACATGCACTACTACCAAAAGCACATCTTTTTGTGGTTCATGAAAGTTACCATAAAGCTTTAAAAATGTTTCATAATGAAGAAAATAATCCTTTTGAGGAAGAGTGGAGGCAGTTGTCTGGGCCAAATGAAAGGAATCATCATGGATTTCCTTTCTTCCTTATCTATGGATAGAACTGAAGTCAGGTGTTCCTTTGATTTAAATCGAGTATGGAAGGAGGACAGCTTGAATGATCTTAGCTCTACTCTTCATCTTCATGTCAAAGTTGAATTAGCAGCATCTGCAGACTTTTTGCCAATCTACCATCAGCACCTGCAGCTTTTGCAGATTTGGCATAAAGAAATAACCTATAATAAGACTTTGGTACATCTGTCTTCTTTTTAAAGGCTGGTGATTGGAGAGGGAAGAAGGCCTAAAAGAATCTTCTGGTTGTTCCAGCATAAAGGAAAAACAAGTCATTGCACTAACCACTTCAGATGCTCCAATAGGATTTGCATCTAATTTTGAGCTCCTTTTGTTGTTGTTGGATCTTTTCATGATCAGTCCTTATGATTTGAAAGACGAGGCATAATCTGTTTTGGGACAATAAACTTATTGGTGACAGAATTAGGATGATTCAAGCTTCATCTGTGAAACACTAAACATCTGAAATGGTATTTTTGTGGTGAGACATCTCCCTTCTCTTCCAGTTCTTTCAGTAAGGTGTCATAATTTGTAGATTAGGTGGGTGGAAGAGCTTTGCCAGAGAAAGCAGGGCTATTCACTATCACTTCCTTAGGGTTGCCTTCTTGATGTGGATTGGTAATGACCTTTTTATCATCTAGCATCCAACATATTATCGTAATATCTCATTGTGGTAAAGATCAAGTATGAATCACTAAAATTATCTTTCTATTTGTATGAATAAAATTATGTATACTATGTATTTCCTATATTTTGATAAAAAAACAACAGCCAAAAAAACCAGAGATGAATGAATATTTATTCTCATATTCTATTTATATATATACATCATAAATTCTTGAGATTTTATTTTTTAACTTTTCGATTATATATATACATATATACATACATATATACATATATACATACATATATACATACATAAATACATATATACATACATATATACATATATACATACATATATACATATATACATACATATATACATATATACATACATATATACATATATATATATATATATGATAAATTTCTTTCTAAAATTTGATGTCCTCCCCACCCTTAACTCGGTGTCCTCATTCGCCCTTAGCTGGCTCCACCTTGGCCTTTGCTCTTGATTGCGTTTGCCTCAACCTTCACCCCTAGTCGTATTTGCCTTTGGCTAATGGAGTAGAGACAAGGGAAAAATAATATTTTAGGAAAGAATGGATACTTTGTAGAAATTTTTCAAAAGCGATTAGTATTCTATTTTTGCTATTTATAATATTATTTTAAATTTTTAATATTTATAAACTATCCTTTTGTAAATAGACATAAATATCTTTTTCTTTTTCTCTTCTTCCTTATCTTCTTTCTCCTTAAAGGACGACATTGAGAGGGTGATGAGTAGGATTGGATGACATC